CGCGCCCCGACGACCGAGTCCTGGAACCGAGTTCCGAACAGGAGAGACAACGCGAGCGAGCAAGCCGAGCCGAGATCGAAAAAGGGGGTTGAGAATCGTGGAGGGAGAAACGGACAGGTAGACAGAGAGAAAAAAGAGGGGAAAATAGGGAAAAATCGTGCGTGCCGAGAACCCGTGGCGTCCGGAAAGACACTGAAGTCGCGGCTCAAACGTTCGCGGTACGCTTGCCTCTCTCTCTCTTTCTTCCCTCTCCTACTTCTGGTCCCCCTACTCGTTTTCAATCGTTTCTCTCGCGCGTGCACGTATCTGCCCTCTCCTCCGTCGCGATCCTCCGGAGCGGTCTCTTTCGCGCTCGCCAAACATCCGCTTTTACCCGCCTCCACACCCCACCACGACAACCCCTACCATGATCGACGACTTTGAAGACTGTTACGCGAGATTCCGCTTATTCGCTTCCTATATTTTATATATACCTTATTGTTCGAGGACTTTCGGATCTGAGGAAAATATAGGGATTTGGGAAATATTATTTGAGGAATTCTGGGGAAGTTAGATGAATCTTGAAGCCTGGATTCCTCTACTTTCAGGAATCTTTGGTCGAACCTTCTTAGGGTTAATCTTCTACAAAATCTGATACATCTTCTGAACAAAATCTGACTCCGTAAGGAGCCTACAGCCTTAAGGAAATTTGAAGCTAGGAGTTTGAACTGACATAAAATATAAACCTAGTTAAAATCAGAACCTAGAAAATCTAGGAACTTAAGAAACTTTAAAAGGATTAATCCAAGGAATATTTAGAAGTAGTCAAAGTTTGAACCTAAGAAAATGATACAATTAGGACTTGGTTGAAGCTGCAGAAAATTTGAAGCTCAGTATTTGAAGAATCATGTGTTTGAGATTAATATTTGAATGGTGGATGAAGGGGTTGTGTCTTTGAATTTTTCGTAACTTCGTGGTCGAGCGATAGGGCAACGGTAACCAACGAGCAATTGGCTTCGATTTTTAGAGGTGCGAAAAGGCTTCCACGTTGGAGACGGTGAAACCCCTGATAGCTTCTTACGCTATCACTACGTCCCATTCGGTCCGCTGCTTTTTCTGGATTGGTCAATTTTTAGGTCTTCGGATTAATTTTGCTGAAGTAAGGTCAATTTTTCAACGATGATTCTTCTCGACTCTTCGTTGGTCGACTTCCTTAACTTTATAAAAAAATATATCTGCACATTCCTACACTATCGCAAACAATAAATAACAACGAATTATTTCCTCCTTCAAAACTTCACTGAATAACTTCAATATTAAAACACAATTCTTTCATGTTCACATACAAGAATACATAATGTTGAAGTACAATATTAATAGTCTTTTATTTTGTACATTTTGTGAATAAAAATAAGGGTTAAATATAACCTTGACTCAACATCAAGCATAACTTTCTACCCGTATAAAAGAAACTCGATAAAACGACTTTCCGTTTCGATGACTCGATTCGCACATCAAAGGAGACGACAGCGATTAGAAGGAAAGAAAAAAAAAGGGAAATTGGAACGACTAGAGGACCGAGACACACGACTCGTCCCCGTTTTCTACGTCGGATCGACCCACTTCCTGGTGCGTGATTCGATCGTGACCGATCCATGAAATTAACGGTAACGGAACGAGCGTACTCGCTGTGTAAAATCGAAAGTGGCGAAATACCGCGACGCAAAACGTTCTGGTGGGGACAAGAGTGGTTTCTGTCTTGAGTGGGGCAGAGAGAGTTCCTCGCTGTTCCTCAAGAAAGATTCTAATGTGCCTCGGAACTTTTAACACCTACTTCGTTATTTCTAGACTCATGAATCTCTGGATCTCTTGGGCTCTTGCATATTAAATCACAAGCAATCGCGTAATTTTTTAGATTATGATACTTTGGAAAATTTTTTAGTTCTAAATTTCTTTCTAGATTCTTAAATTTCTATATTTTCGAGTTGAGATCTTCAATTGTTAGATCTCTGGAGTTTCTAGAGGCACAAATTCCTGGAACCCCAAATTACTATATGTTTGAATTACAAATTGTCGAATCCAGAGATTCCCTAGTTTCTACAAGTCTGAGTTCCTAGATTCCCGAGTTTCTAAATCAGTGAGACCCTAGATTTCCGAGTTTCTGCAAAATCGAGTCCCTGGATCCCCGAATCCATAGATACTGAAATTCCTAGACCCCCAAATTTCCCTAGATTCCCCAATTTCCCTAAATCCCCAAATCCCTAGATCCCGAA